TATATACACACACACACACACATATACATACACACACACACATATATATACAGTATATATACAGTGTATACACACACATACATACACAGTATGCATATATACTGTTGTATTTTGCATGTACTTATATGCACACAGTATATATATACTGTGACAGTCATGTTAATGGTTACATGTTTGTGAAGTAATTTTATACTGATCATTATTCATATATATAGGATTAGTGGCCTTCAGCTCTTTTGTACATGGTATGTGCAAATAGCATTGCACATATTGGCTGGGGCTTCTGGAACCTGAAGTCTATAACTTCTAAGCCAGAAATTTAAGCAAATTCAGTGTAAGTGAGCAATTGGTGATGCAGGTCCTCATTTTTGGTGATGTGTAAGTGCCATCCTAGCCCTACCTTAGCAGGGAGCGCAGTGCAGATCCCCAAAGGCCCCGTGGTCTTGATGTTCCTTTCTGTTGCTTCTTGCTCACTTGCGCTCTCTGAGCACTCAACCAGAAGGCGCTTAGGCAGAGTGAGGAGATCTTAACCTTAATCAGCAGAATTTGTGGGAAGAACTGTGATGGTGAGGTGATGAAAGACACATGTACCCCTCCTGCACCAAGCTAGCCTGTGATCCTCAGGTACATTTGGGGAACACTATCCCACTTCCAGTGTAGTTGGTTACTGTACATGAATGTGGAGAGGCAGGAGATCCTGGCCCTCGTCTAGCGTAGCAAAAATGTTTGGGACATGCTCTAGTAGCCACCTCCATTTCTTTTATCCTCTTTCTGTGCAGTGGGTATGGAGTGAGCTGAGGCAGAGGACAAGCAAAAAAGAACAGAAGACAGTCCATAATTCAAGGGAATGGGCACCTTATGCCAAAATGGCAGGATCAGGCAGCCTCCTCAGACCACAGCCTGCTCATAGGGAACAATGGGCCGTACTGACAGCATCTTTGCTCAATATACTCCACCCACCTGCTCAAGCTTCAAGCCTCTACAAATGGATAGAACCTGGAATACTTTCCCTCGTAGATGGCCTCTCAAAATAAGTCTTTCGGCAGAATAATTCTTCATACTGTTTATTTAGGCATAGCAGACAATGGCAGTGAGGGCTCTCCACAAGCTCCCCTGTACAACTCTCATTCATCCTAAACAAGTACAGCCAACAGTGAGGCATCATGGGAGTTCCAGTCCCAAAATGTCTGGAGGGTCACCATTTGTGTGCTTTTGAGAGAGAGATTGACAGACCCAAATCCGTCTAGCAAGCCTCAGTGACAAGTGTCAGGCACTATTGAAGGTGTAGTAAATTTGTAGTAAGGGTGAGAGTGCAGAAAAAATGGTCTGAAGCTCAACATTAAAAAAAAACACTAAGATCATGGCCACTGGTCCCATCACCTCATGGCAAATAGAAGGGGAAGATATGGAGGCAGTGACAGATTTTACTTTCTTGGGTTCCATGATCACTGCAGATGCAGACAGCAGCCACGAAATTAAAAGATGCCTGCTTCTTGGGAGGAAAGCGATGACAAACCTAGACAGCATCTTAAAAAGTAGAGACAGCACCTTGCCGACAAAGGTCCACATAGTCAAAGCTATGGTTTTTCCAGTAGCAATGTATGGAAGTGAAAGCTGGACCATAAAGAAGGCTGACCGCCAAAGAATTGATGCTTTTGAATTGTGGTGCTGGAGGAGACTCTTGAGAGTCCCCTGGATGGCAAGGAGATGAAACATATCCGTTCTGAAGGAAATCAACCTGGACTGCTCACTGGAAGGACAAATCCTGAAGCTGAGGCTTCAATGCTTTGGCCCTCTCATGAGAAGAGAAGACTCCCTAGAAAAGACCCTGATGTTGGGAAAGTGTGAGGGCAAGAGGAGAAGGGGACAACATGAATTTGACCAAACTCCGGGAGGCAGTGGAAGACAGGAGGGCCTGTTGTGCTCTGCTCCATGGGGTCATGAAGAGTCAGGCATAACTTAATGACTAAACAACAACAACAGTAAGTTTGACATTGAGTATATTTCACTATGCTGATTTCTCTCATCTATTGGAAGTTGCACTTGATTTGGGAAGAACAATTATTCTAGTGCCCTTGGTTAAATGTTGATGTAATTCTGATGTGGCAAAATGGATCTACTTCCTTTAAATCCTTTCATGTTAAGGATCCTGGGGGGTGGGGGCTGAAAAGTTTGTGTTCCAGGGCAACAGAGGGAGACTCCTATGGAGCTCTGAAGGGAATAAAGAACAGGCTCTTTAAGAAGTTTGGTTTTCTAGGTTAAGGGTGGTTTCAGAGGTGATTTCTACATAAAAAGGACAGCTAGAGGTGGGATCTCTTATTGTCCTGAAAGATGGCAGCAGCTATGACAGTAAGTAGCACAGATTTCTGCTGAATTCCTCTTTTCTCAGGCTATAAACGGCAGCTGTGGGTTCTTGAGTAGCTCGAATATAATTGCATCTCTAAAGTACCCTGTTTAACTTTCAGGAGCCCTCTTGACCTTGAAGGAGAGGAAAACCTACACTGAGTGATTGTTTTGTATTCTTGATACAGTACTTTTTCTTTTCTCCATGATGCAAACTCAGCTTTTTCTACTCCAAGGCTACAGTTTTGCACACACATACCAGGAGGTTCAAGTTCTCCTGAGTTTACTGGGGCCTACTTCTGATTAAATATACATAACATCTGGGCTATTAGCACATCTTTCAGCAGGAGATCTTGCTTTGCTGAAATTCCTATCCTTAGAAGGTTTACATTTCTCTCTCATCAACTGAGCACTTCCTATGCAGAACACACATTTGAAGCCCATCTGTCCCATGCTGAGATTTATCTGCCATCAGCCGCCAGTTCCTCTAGAGTACAGTTCAGTGCAGAAATCTCTTGCCATCATGCATTACACGTGGGAGGCTTCAATTCCTGAATTCCTGCTTAATTTGCAGCTGTTAAAGGAGCTGTATTTTGACTCCCCACTGGGAAAAAAGTTATTAACATTATGTTTGCTGTGTATTGATCTTGGTACCTCTAATCCCAAGGACCTAAATATTTTTGTTTATGCATGCAGTTCTCAAGCAGTTGTTGCAATGCAGTGTTAAGTATGGTCAAGCTAGCCGGGGCTACACATAGCTAGATAATTTGCTCGGCTCTCTCTCCTGAAGGGCTGTACCTTTCTTTGGTGGTTCAAGCTAGCTTCCCAAGTTCTCCTTATGTGTTTTTTTAAAAATTGTAATACATATGAGTGGATTCTTGGGAGCTTGGAAGAGTTCTTTTTGTGACAACAAGTCTCATAAGCCCCTAGTCAGTGCAGCCGGCAACTATCCTTGCTTGTCTTTGCCCTGAAAGTGGCTGCAGAAAATGAAGAAGAACATGCTAAATTTGGGGAGCTGGTAAGCCTGTCCAATTTCCCACAGTTGTTGCCAAACATGTGGCAAGGAGAGGCAGCCCAGGACATCATTGCTGCTTGAAGCAGAGTAGCAACAGGCAGCTGTCAAGCTCATACATAGCCCAGGTGAATTGGTCCTATAGCCAGCCAAGATGCCTTATTGCAGGTGGCAGAAAATCCCTCAAGCCACCTTTAGCAGTAAGAATGTAATAATGACAAAGTCACGATTTGTTGCTCCTTGATAGCATCTGCAGCTCAGGTCAGACATTTCCTTCTGCCTATTGGTCAGGGCTGGCCCTTGTGGCAGGGGACAGAAAACAGCTCTGGCAGCCCATACTTGAACTCACTGACCCATTCCTTCCACAGGCAGGTGCCCTTGCTCACTCGGTGCCCTGTCTCCCGGGAAGAGGCTGAAAGCACCAGCTGCTGACGGCTTAGCCTGTTGTTCCATGTGGTGTTTGACCCCTTTGTCACAGAGGCTGTCAACTTCTTATGGGGCTGGCCCTAAGCACTTCAAGCGGGTGGCACTCAGGGCCAGAATAAAGCTGGGAAAATCTCCTTTTCCTCTTGCAAAGCAGCTTTATGAGACAGGCCTTGCTTTTCCTTTTCTGTGGGAAAGACACACAGACTTGTTGTGTGAGATTCTTTGTTTTTAACGGCTTGCTCTGGATAAAAAAAAAATTATATCCTTCCAATGTCTTATTCTGACTTGTCCGAGAGAGACAACACAATCTTGAAACATGCAGGATGCCCAGTTGTTCAATAAATAGATAACGCTGGCTTTCTCTTCCATGCCTGACTGCTGCAAACAATTAACCTCTTTTGCCCCTTTGGGATATCTGATTTTGTTTCCTGCCTAGTGGTCTGGGACAAATCAGCAAGAGATATTTTGAGCGTCTAACCTGTCAACATGCATTATGCATTTGTTCCAATGGCAGGTAAACACGCCTGAAGAGCAGCAGAAGCACAAGGCCAGCAGAGGAGAGGTGGTTGTGGATCCCTTCAGCAAGCACCCTTTGCAGAACAGGTATCAGTTGAATAGCAAAACAGTGTCGTACTTTTGCAGGTATTATCCACAGTATTCTAGCTTTAAGCCTGTAACTTTGCCTTCCTGACTCAATAAAGTGTTGCTAATTTTCTCTTTTTAAAACTGACCTTCTTCCTTCTAACCTGAAAGATACTGGTCAGTTGTAATCACATGTGATCAAAAAAATAAGGGCTGTGATACAATGGCCAGAATCCTATTGGTTTGTTACACCAGCATAAGTGCAATGGCCTAAATCACAGAATGAATTGCTACTAGTTAACAAGTTGCCAGTGCCACTTGTAGTCCTCATTGCATGACAACAAATATACGTAGCAATTCATTAACTGGCAACAATTTGCCACTGTGCTTTATGCCATTGAACTTACATTGACATAACTAATAGGATTCTGGCCATTAGTATTCCTTGCCCCAAAGTCTTTGCTATGTTGGTTTCAAAAAATATTTCAGATGCTGCCATGTTTCTGGAGGTAGTATTACTGTTAAACATGAACATCTTTATTTTCACCTTAAGTATCCTTCAACTTTTCAAGATCTCCTCATTTCATTTGTGCTGGAGGAAGACACCAAACCCTACCTATAATTAACCAAACCTTCTAGCTTTAGAAATTTCTAATGATCATGCTGCTAAATGGAGTTTAAAGCCAACTCTCCCTCCCTCCTTTCACTATAAAAGTGAAAGGCAGAAGTCAGTAGTAGCCTTTAACCACCCCAGAAACAAAACCTGGCATATAGTCCTCCCATTATAGTGGATCTCATCAAATTTAGACTATTCTGAGCATGGGGTGGTGCTTTCAAGTTAGAACAAGCGATACTTCAATCTGTGGCATGATGTACCACAGGCACACAGACGCCCCTGCAGGTAACGTTTGTGCTCATAGCTTCATGGTGTCCTTCTGCTCATCTTCATAGGTGGGCTTTATGGTTCTTCAAAAATGACAAGAGCAAGACTTGGCAGGACAACCTGCGGCTTGTCACCAAATTTGACACTGTGGAAGACTTCTGGGCGTGAGTTGCATTCCAGTCATTTCTCTCTTTGCTGTTCCTTGGTTTAATCAGCCCTGAGGAAGGAACACCGTTACAGGGATGAATCGTTTTTCAAGGATGGGTTAAAGAGCAACGTGGTGTTATTACTAGGAGGTAGCTGTGTTCCTTTATAACATGTTACAGAAACTAAACAAATGAACAAAAGCTTGTCTCATGGGACATTGAAAACTAATGGGTTTTATTTGGCATAAGCATCGACTGTAGCCATCAGAAGCATAGAAAGAAATTTACATTTACACCCAGTAAGGAAGGAATGTGAAATGTAAGAGAAATACAAAACGTGCAGCATGATCTTGATTTCAGCATACATGTGTGAGATATGAAGTGAGAGATTTTGGATTTTGAGGGTGCTGCCAGACAGGTAATTGTCCTGTTGTTTGTCCTGTGTTCCCCATCGATCATTTCCCTATTTTCTTCAACAATCAGGCAACATTATTCATAGAATCATAGAAAAGTGAAGTTGGAAGGGGCCTACAAGGCCATCAAGTCCAACTCCCTGCTCAATGCAGAGATACAATCAAAGCATATCCGCCAGGTGCTTATCTAAGTTTTTTTAAAAATGCCTCCAGTGTTGGAGCACTCACCAATTCCTGAGGTCACTGGTTCGGCTGTCGTACTGCTCTAACAGTTAGGAAGTTTTTCCTGATATTCAACCAAAATCTGGCTTCCTTTAACTTCAGCCCATTGTTGCGTGTCCTGCACTCTGGGATGATCGGAAACAGATCTTGCCCCTCCTCTGTATGACAGCCTTTCAAATATTTGAAAAGTGCTATCATGTCATACCTCAGTCTTCTTTTCTTAAGGCTAAGCATGCCCAGTTCTTTCAGCCTTTCCTCATAAGGCTTGGTTTCCAGCCCCTTGATCATCCTTGTCACCCTTCTCTGAATTTGCTCCAATTTGTCAGCATCCTTCTTGAAGTGTGGTGTCCAGAACTGGATACAGTACTCAAAAGGAGGCCTATCCAGTGCCAGAGGAGTACTAGTACTTCATGGGATTTGGACGCTATGCTTCCGTGCCTTGTGGCACAGTGGCTAAGCTTCAATACTTCAGCCAAAACTCTGCTACTCCTGGGTAGATCGTATCTTTTTGCACAAGCTTCTAGTACACTTTGTTCATCTTCCATGCTCCTTTTGTTATTCCTGCTGTGTTTCCATGTATTTTGCCTCCACTGCTCAGAACTGTATTTTGTGTATTTTATTTTTCCTGGTCCTTCTGGAACATTGCTGGCCATGTCTTGAGAATACAGGTAAAGGTATATATGATGAGGTAGAAAAGTAAACAGTTTGCCTCCCATGAGTTTGCACTGCCACAAAAATAACTTACCTGTCGGGATCTGCAAGATGAAGGAAAGTAGGGGGTCTTGCAGATGAAGCCTCAGGGGCAGGGATCTTTCTCCTTGACCAGCAAGGGGGAAAAGAAAAGACGGGACACTCGAGTGTATGGCAGCTGTTCAGAGGCGGAATCTCTTGTTCCCCCGCCTCCTCTTCTTTTATTGTATCCCCCTACTACATTTGCTCTAGTCAGAATAACCAGAGTTAGAGACAGCTAATTTCCTTGAACACACAGGCATCAGTAAACAGAGTGGTTGGTAAACAGACAGGCTGATAAGCAGACAGTTAATAGTAAACAGACACAGATACCATCCAAATACACAGACAAGTTCCTGAATACACGAACACTTTAACTACATTATCCAGAGACAATAGACAGCAGGTTAATGATCATCCTTACTGGAAGTTAGCAGTTATGTACGTGTCTTGCAGCTAGGGCATGATGCCTGCTACTAGTATACAGATATATACATTTATATACATTTATAATATACATTTGCTACTGCCATAGATATATACATTTTAAAGGCATACAATTTTCCCACATCCCAACCGTTTTTTATTTATTTTGTTGAAGACAATGGCTGTTGTAAACTCCTGAAAATTCCGAATCCAGGTATGATATGAAGTCAGGCTCATCTTCAGCAGAGGGCT